GTTGCCTCTGGAAGATGGAGTTTTTATGCTTCTTTTATGCCAAAGAAGACACACAATGATAATAAAAGCCATCTAATGGGCATGCTGATGACAAGTTGGCCACCTGCAGAAGGTACCTGTCCTCAAGCACCCTAGGTGCTCACTGTAATTGTGGTCCCTTTCTCTTCATTGCTTCAGTGAAAATAGTACTTTTTTGGTTTCTAGTGATTCCAAACCCTGGATTCATATTAAATTCACCCGAAGTTTAAAAAAAGAAATCCAGTACATGAGAACGCCATCCTAGGCCAATTACATGTGGAAATCTCTGGTCATTGGCTCAGTTAAAAAGCTCTCTGGGTGATTCTAACATATCCTCAGGGCAGAGAACAATTAATTTGGTTATTGATAGAAAAGAAGAGGGGGAGAAGTTCCCCAATATATTTTTTAAAACATTTAATGAGTATTTTACAAATGAGGAACCTGAGACTCAGAGACATGAGGCAACTTGCTCAAGTCTGAATAACTAACAGGCAATGAGGTCATGGTTTGAATCTATAACTACTTCTTTTACAAAATGTCAAGTTCTTTCCATGAAATCTGGGAGAATACAGAGCAAGAGGAAGGAAGTCTGCCAGATTCTGTGGGAGGAAGAGGAGAGAGGGCAGCGGAGGGCAGAAGGACCACCCAGAAGACTTCCCAAGAAAAGGCAAAAAGGTAGAGATATTTGCAGACTATTCTCCAGCCACTGTCTCTGAAGTGTGTGCAGAGAACTCACAGGGGTATGGCGGAAAAATGGTAGAATTTCTTTTAGTTTTTATCTCAATGTTTTGCATATTTTATAAACCATGGGATACACTGATATGGTCATGTATGTATATAATTTATAAAGAAATAAACATACATATAATGGGAGTACATGCTCAAAAAACTTTTACTGTTAGGGACACAAAAAAGCATGGAGTCCATTGTAGAGATCTCCTCAGCCAGGGCTTGGTGCAATCAAGCCTAACCTGCAATACTCACTGAAGTCCTGGCCAGAGGCAGGGAACAAAACATTCTGCAGTGTTAGTTATTTACTGATGGGGTGCTGGGAGTGCTTGTTTAGAATCATTGTTAAGAGTAGAGATTCTTTAAGTGTGGTCTGGAGATGTCTGGGGGTTCTTGAGACTCTGTCAGAAAGAATATGTTCATAATAACACTAACAAGTGATTTACCTTTCTTGCTCAGTCTCTCCTGAGTGTCCAGTGGAGTTTTCCAGTGGCTCTATGACATGGAATGATGCCATTGTTCTGGAACCTAATGGAATGTTTACTTGTGTGTTCTGTGCTTTGAGGTTTTTTTTTTAGTTTTAATTTCTAAAATGCTAAATATAAATATTGGGTTGGCCAAAAAGTCTGCATAGTTTTTTTTGTAAAATAGAAGATACATTTTTCATTTTCATCAATAACTTCATTGATTTAAATATTTTGAGTATGTCAGTTATCTCCTGAGTGGTATAACATTGATGGTTCTCAATTACTGTCTCAGTTTGATCACTATCAACTTCTACTGGTCTACCTGACTGCAGAGCATTGTCCAGCAAGAAATCTCCATCATAAAACTTCATAAACCACTTTGACAGGTTTGATCAGTCCCATTACCTTGTCTATACACTGGACAAATCTTTTGTGTTTCAGTTGTGTTTTTCCCTTGCTTGAAATAATAAAGCATAATATGCCAAAATATTGCACGTTTTCTTCCATCCTCAATATTAAAATAGCTACACAAAAATTCACCAATTTAGATAATATTTTTACATGCACACTCATCATGACAGATGTCACAATGCAAATTAACTAAATTGTTTCGAATGAAGTTAAAAACCACTACTAGAACTATTTTAAGGAAAAAAATCAAGTGAAGTTTTTGCCAACCCAATAGATATAACACATACAAATAAAAGCTCTCTGGGGTCCTTAGTAATTTTTAAGAGTGGAAAGGGGTCCTGAGACCAAAAAGGTGCTCTATTCTAGAGGATGCAGAAGAGTCTAGAAGACAATGAGATAGAGGTAATATTGCAGAGGGAGACATGAATAAAGACTTACATTTGCATTTAAAAAGCATGTCATACCATGTTGAAAATTGGACTCCAAAAGCTTTTGATCTCATACCACCTTTAAAAACATTTTTGAGCTTGCATTCACAACATATATATTCTTTTAAATTAAAATATATGATTATATTATATAAAATATTTTTAAAATGGCAAAATACAGGAATTTTAAAACACTAAAATAAAGATAAATCACATTTTAGAGCTTGTTTTTATAATGGTAAAAATTCATTGTGCTCTCAATAAAAAATAAAATTAATAAAATTAATAAACATGTTTCATTATTAAAAAAATACTATATCCTCTATTAGTTTATGATAAAGCCATCTGAAAGTCTGAGTCTAAGTTCACTTCATTGTGATCCTTGATGTCAAAGACTATAGGGAAAGACCCCTATAGAAGACAAGAACACAAATGGATAGAAAGAAAAACTCACTGTGCCTCCTTACTCATGATTAATTATATTTCATTGACAACTATCAATTATGCAAAGGTTTTTGTTGAAACTCAGCTAGTAGATTTCAATCTTTTTACGTTGATCAGTTGGGAAGGTATAGATAAGTCAATATTTCTGATAAATGGGTTCAAAATGCCCTGAAATTCTTTGTTTGGATAATTTTTAAAAACACCAGGAAATTTGTTTTCCAGTGTGCAGTAAGAAAGTTTATAGGTGGCCCAGCTACACTGGTTTTGACAAAAAAAAATTGTGTAACTAGGGGTGAGACCAATGTAATTTGTGTCTACATGAGGGAAGTGAATGAATGAAGGTGCCACCCCCCTCTGAGCTGAGCAACTCCCAGTGACTTCAGGATTGCTCAGGGGACAGTGACCCCCCTGGTGCTGACAAAGGGAGAATACCAGGAGTAGTTCATAAATCAAATGTCAGCTAAATAAACTCAAGTTTCCTGTCTTCTTCCTGCATTTCCTGGCTGCATGCTCCAAGCTTTGGGAGAGGAAAGCCATTAGGAAGTTTTAGAGGAAAGTTTTGGAGGAAAAGCATGATGAGGTCTATGATTAACAGGCACAGTTAACTAGTAAAGGTAGAGAGAAAGAGTAGGCTATAAAGGACAGGCTAGAGGGGAAAAGGAGGCCAAGCTAGATAGAGCAGCAGGAGAGAGGGGAAGGAATGGATCTGAGAGATGTTTTGGAGATACACATCATAGATGTGGTAGGAGTGGGGGGAACATCTGGGTTGGTAGGATGACAATAATACCCTTCCCTGAGCCTGGAAAGAAGAGGGCAGGCATAAAAATATCATGAGTTCAATTTTGGATGATACTGAGATTTCTTTCACCCCTGTGGGGTCCTAAGGTGACATTCCACAGTTTTGGAAGATCTGGACGAGCTGAAGGACAGCCAGTTCTTCCCAAGCCTTACTTTTCAGCCCTCTGATGTCTAGGTTCTTTGCTTTTTGGAAAGTCATCCATTTCTTTGAGACTCTGAAGAAAGCCATTGGTTGGCCCACTTCATAAAAATGATGTACACACCCCAACATAAAATTGTGCACGTGCTTTTTAGGGTCCCCAACCCCCAGAAGTCTAACTGGCTCCAAACCTGCTCTAGTTCCCTGTCTAGGAGCCATTCTTCTGAATCAGACAAAATTTGCTAATTATAAGTCACTTCCTATTTTAGAAATCCTTATGACTTATGGTCAAATGCTTACGTCCATCACGCTGACTGAAGAATTGTAATTTTTAATGCTGGGTGCGAGATGGAAGGAAGAATGGAGAAAAAGAGGTCCATTTGAGGCTGTGTGATTCCTCAGGGTATGTCTTCATGCAGCTCATACAGGATGGGATGCAACGGCACACCTGCAGTACCACCTGCAAAGACTGCTTCCCTAATTGAACCAGAATATAGTAAGAAATGTAGAATAACAAGTGAAATGACACCATAAGAAAGCAATCAGTGTAATCCAGATGGTGGACTGTTTTACAGAACAAATGACCTACTTGCCCTAACAAATTAATAGCATGAAAATTGAAGAGAATATTACAGAATAAAAGAGCCTTAAGAAATGGTAGTAACCGAAAATAATAGGATGTTTTGTAGAGTGAACAATCTGAGAGATGGGAATACACACTTAGTATTGAATGATTTCAGAAACAATTTATCTTGGTGTAATAATGGTGGTTATATAAAAAAGAACATATTCTTCAGTTAGAGATGCACACAGTTGTACATGCAGGTGTGAGGACACAGTATCTGGGATTCCTTTGAAATAATCCAGAAAAAAAAAAAGAGGAGGTGAGAAATGAAACATATTTGGCAAAATGTTGGTAATTGCTGAAGCTGGATGATGGCTATCTGGAGGTTCCTTATACTTGACTTTCTTGTATATTAAAATTTCCCATAAATTAAAAGATTATAATTTTTTAAAAGTGTGGTTCTAAAATCTGTCTGATGATCAGAATCTCTTGGAAAACTTAAAAAAGAAGAAGAAGAAAGAGTCCGGGAGCTTTCCAGTACTCCTGAATCAATTTCTATGGGTACATTTGGGCAGAAGAATGTGCCATTTTATAATTTCCCGGGACAGTCCTCGTGGCCATTGCTGCCCTAGGTCACCTCCTCTAAGGTCTAATGCAGGAAATCTATGCCAGTCTTCCTTCCTCCCATTTCTCTTCCTTTCCTGTCTCTTTCCTCCTTCCTCTTTCTGCATGTTATTAAGGCTTAGGGCAGGAATTTTTAGAGAAGCACAGGGTCCTAGCAGCTCATGGGAACGGGCACTCCTATCTGGGCCTTGGGGTCCTGCTGGCAAACCCAATGTCTTACCCTCACACAGTTATGATTTTCACAAAGTCCTCTTGCTACCCACGTATCCCCTGCCCAGGTCCACCTTGAAATAAAGTTGCTTGGGAAGTGTGGTCTTAACATTCAGGCCTTCTTTTTTTGGCATTCATAAGTAGAAAACATCAACACTTGTTCTTAAATAATTTATTTTTTAATATTGGTTTTTGTGGAAAGTTACAATTATTTAGGGAAATTTTAATAAACCATGGAGTAAACAATTCTACCGGGATAACTAAATGTGCAAATTCCAAATGTTTTCTATAAGAAGTATAAATAATTCCATTTGTTTCACATTAAGCATGAGAATATTTATACACAAAATATTAAAATATCAACCTTAAAGGAAATAGATGAAAACACGGAAGACCATGTAGAGTTCTAGACTGCCAGTCTTCTCCTGTCAGAAGTCCAGACCTCTGTGGACAATGTGTTCCTCTCCTCTGTTCTTTAGAATCAGCATGACGGCGACATAAAGCACATAGGGAGACTGCAGGCCAAGGATAGAAAGAAACTTCCTCATGCTCATGGTTACAGGGCTTTGCCGTCCCAAAGCTACGGTGTCACTGGACGCAAGACCGCTGCCTTGCACCCCAGGACCCAGCATTAACACAGCAGATAAAACCACCATCAAAGGCCACATCTCACTCTGGGACCTTCTCTAATCCCATCCCTGCTCCTTTCCAATGTTCTCTCTAGGGAGGTAGAATAGTCGGAGACAATTATATACTGTGGCTGGGACATGGGTCTGGCCAAAGTTTCATTAGGAAGAAACATGGATTTTAATAAATTTACGACTGCTGCAATTCCTTTCTTCCCAGGGAAGGCAACCAAAGTGCATCAGACAGGCTGACTCCCCTGCCGTGAGGAACTTGCCCGGTTGCGCAGCATGCTCACGGCAAACAGTATTTGCCCTGGAGCAGAAGAAACAACTTCATTTAAATAACCTTAAAGTCTGCAATAAAATAAATAAAGTAAACTCCACCGACACAAGGCCTTTACCAAGGTAGCAGGTTGAGTTCATGAAGGCTGTACACACAGGTGATGCCCCAACAACAACCAGAAAATAGGTTATTATTGTTCGGTCTTCTTACTCTAGGGCAGCATTTCGACATGGTGGAAAACAACACAAAAAACCCTTATACACAAGGGTACATTATATATGTACACACTATTTATGCACACCTCAGTTCAACTTAGCCTCTTTGGAAGTGAAGACAGTGATAACCAAGAGTTACACATCTTCCCACTAAAATATTCTAATTTTTACAAGGTGCATATTGTAAAGAGCAGCTGGTTTGCTTTACAGAATGTACTTAGTCTCAGCAGCCTCAGAATCACAGTCCACGAGAAAGGAATGAGGCAGGTAAGGAAAAACCACGAACTACTGACACTCTGAAAACGTCCGTTTTCCCTGAGCTTCCCGGCCTTCTCACAGAGGGCCCATGGGCCAAGGCCTGCTCACAGAGGGCCTGGGGGCCATGCGGATTCAGCTTCCTGCCTCTGAGCCATGGCAGCGAGGCGGGTGGAGTGGCTCTGACTCTGTCTTGAAAGATGACGAAGCAGTCCTGACACGCACTCCAACTCCATAAAGCTCCTGGCCTTCTGCTTGTAGGAGAGGAGGCAGAGCCGCAGGCTGAACTGGAGACAGTCTGCTGCCAGTCACAAGCTCTGCTCCAAGGCCACTGGGGAATGTTCTCCAGTTACCAAATTCAAGGCCACGACCAGGAACTTATCTTTCCTCTCCTTCTCAAAGACAATCTCGAGTCTTCTGTTGCAGGGACCGACCCTCCAGTGGCACCAGAGTGTTTAGGGTATAGCACCATGTTGGCTAACGGCTGGGCTAGCTCACCTGTTTCATGTTAGCCATACATCTGCTTGAACTGAAAGCACTCATTACAGTAGCCATTGCACTTGGTGTTGCCAAAGTGATCACAGGCGGGGGCCCGGCAGCGCTGTTTGGGGGGCTCTTCAGGAAGAGGCTCAGCCCGGTGGGCCCCAGTGCCCACTCTCTGGCCGAGGTGCTGGCACTCCATGCAGAGTTCCTCATTGCGACAGGCCAGGATGTTCTTGCAAGAGGCCCGGGCGCACTTGGGCCTGGAGGCACTCTGCGTGGTCCGGGACACGTCTCTGTGCTGGCTCAGTCTCTGTGGGGAAAGAGCAGAGCGAACTGTGACTCACGTTTCTCAGGGAAAGCACGTGCGATCTCAGAGCACGGTGTGGATGCTACAGGGAGCCCTGAGGGGTGAAGACTACCTGTCTGACCAAGGGAGCAGAGTTCCATGTGCCTCTGTGAATAAGAGCACGTTTCTCCCCACGCCACAAAAGCGGGCCTGGCCAAAGGTCCGCCAGTGGAACCCCCAATCCTAACCCAGAGGCCTGCAAACACTGGCCTAGCTTGAGTCTATTGAGATGCATAAACTGCCACTATTTATTTAGACGGATTCCTACTGTTTGGTAAACAATAGGAGAGGCATCTATCAGTCAAAGTTTTTCTTCTGTGCCATTAGGTGGGGGCATCTGGATGCTCTGCCTCCTCATCCTATCTGCTCTTGGTAAAGGATCATTTAAGAAAGTACGCTGGCTACATCGATGTCTGTGCTTCTGCTACAGCTGCAAGAGGTCTCTAGCTTTGGGAGGCTTAACGAGGTTTTATGCTATGGCTAACTTAATTTACTTCCTAAATGAGGTATGCTAAGGCCGTGTCAATCAATATAGTAGCTGCTCCAGCAAGGAGGACAAGGGGGAAGTACCTCAAAAATGTCTCACCAGTTGCTCTTCAGTCCTTTTTGCTTCATGAAATCTCTGATTTTGTGCTTCAATGAAACACTTCTGACAGTATCCTTCAAACACGGTGCTTCCAAGGGTGCCACATTCTCTCCCCAGGCAGGGGGCTGCGTTCTGGAATCTGGAGGCTGTGGGGCCTACTTTCCCCGAGGCAGCAACAAAATCTGGAAGAGAGTGGATACCGATCAGTATTATCTATGGGGTCACCACGCAGAATGAAACAGTGACTTGAAAGAAATAAATGGGTTCAAAATCCAGATTAGGCCAGCCTTCAACAGATACATGGGAAGATGCTGCCTTTTATGGATTCAGCAAAGTTTAAAAAATGATACTAACTATCATTGAAACAGCTTTGATTTTACAAATCCCTTACTTTTGAATGTCCCACACTGGTCAGTCACAGTAACAGAATAGAGACATGTTAACTGCTCGTCCTGCTTTCAAATTAGGGGTTTCTAAAACCACAGATTTTTTTTTACAATGTCCATAGAGACTCTGCTCTCTCCAGCTGCTCTTCAGATTTTGAGTTTTCTCTATTGTACCAAAAAAGTCTAGTTTAAAGTCTACCTTATAAATACAACACCAAATAATCTATGGAAACAAGTGCAATAAACTCTATCTAGAGGGCACATTTGGAAGACAGTATTCTGTGGTTTTGGCTTCCATGTGCAGCTGGCAGAGCCAGTGTGACTGTCCCTCTGTGTGACATTTTACCCTACTGCCTACAGAGGCTCCTTTCTGGAAGGTCAAGAAGGAACCCCTCTAGACAGGGCTTCAAAACATGGGGTTAAGAAATCCATCATTTTACTCACGTTTATTTTCTCTGTACTCGATGAAACACAGTGTGCAAAAGCCCTGGTTCTCAGGAGTTCCAAAGTACATGCAGCCTGCTTTCCGGCACTTGCTTGTCCCTGTCCTGTCCCCTGGAGTCCGTGCGGCCTGAGAGAGGCAGCCAGAGGGGGCTTCACTCCCAGCTCTGTGGCAAGAATGAGGGGAGAGACTCTGGATGAGCTGCGCTGGGTCCGACTTAGATCTCTGATGACAGGAAGGAGGGATGCTGGAGCCGAGGTTCAAGGAGGGCTCTGCTGTAGTCCGTTTGAAGCAAGTGCTGCAGATCCCATTAAATGTCCTGGTGACGTCCTGGAGGCAGGCCTGGCACTTACCGGGATCTAAATGCCTCGTGTTTTCTGAGGTGTGGCCCATATTAAGTTGCCGGGCATTGTGGCAACGCTCACAAAATCCGTTGTGCTGCACATTCAGTGTGAAAGGGCAGCCAGGACTCCTGCACTTCATCGCGGTGGTCTCGCTGAACAGGAAAAGGCTGGGTGCTGTCGGAGGGGCAGAATGAGGCCCCCCAGCTGGCTCCTGGGGGTTCCAGGCTGTGGGCTCGTAGGCCTCACCTCGAGAGGCTCCAAGCACCACGTCAGGGCCTGGCTTGGACTTTGGCTTTGGGGATTTGTTCTGGTTCTTCTGCCGCCTCTCTGCGCATTCATGGCACAAAGGCTGGGTGTTCACAGACATGAAGAAAGGGCAGTTGGGTGTTTCACATTTTACGTCCATGAGAGACAGCTGGGGGATGGAGGGGTCCAAAGGGTGCAGCTCTCTCCGCCCCTGCTCATTGTTCTCTTGCCACTTCTTGTACTCGTGCTGGACAAGTTCAAAGTAATCATCTACCAGGTTTATTTCCTTTGGTAAGTTAGCTTCATCCAACCTAAAGGCCAAAAGGAAAATTATGAGACTTTATATGCACACACACAATTATAAGTCGATAGCTTATAAGAGCAAATTTTAGCATAGTTCCAGTGGATTCTGGAACTAGTCACTGAACTGCAAACCCATCACAAAGAGTCTGCACCTCCAACATTACACAGCCGAGGATGTCATGATTTCAACAATCACAGTCTTCTTTAATCAATCCTGGTCCACCCAGAATTATGGATAACTCTAAAGAAAGGGCTGCTCTACATTTAATGACTCTATTCCCCTTTCAAAAAGTTACTTTTACTTTCTAACTTCTCAGAGATCAAATTTCTAGTAAAAAATTACTCAGCGTGTTCTTTTGGCACTAGTCTGCCTCATGGTGCGAACTACTTCAGAACTTTGTGTTCTATATTTTGCTGTTAATTATTTTTAAACCAGTGCCTGGTCTCTGCTGGAGTTAATGGCCATGAGTGTGACTAAGAGACACACACCTGGGTATTACTTACTGACTCTCCGTAATCTGCTACTCTCCACTTTGGCAAACTAATTCCCTCACCTCTTTCGAGCTCATCTCTCGTACATTTCAAGTTCTAAGAAACAGGCACCTCGTTAACATAAAGTCAGTGTGTTTAGAACTTGGCTACCTCTACAGTGTACACTCTGGGAGTCTCCTCCCCTTTCCTTGTGGTGAAATCACGTGGCTGCTACACAAACACATTTAACAACCTGGTCTGGTATGTCTGTCCTTACTAAGAAGCTAAGAAAAAAAAAAAAAGCTTTTGTTTCTAAGAACTTTCAGTTGCTAGTCTAGTACCAGAGCAAGGAAGAAAACAACCATCCTTGATGTAAACAAACTTTTAAAAGCCCCAACTCTTGACTCTCAGCACCCAGATATGCAGGGAAATCATGATGGGTAAATTACTTGTTCTCATTGGAAACCAAAGTTACTAATGCCTCAAACAAGGAATCCTCTCTGAGTCTGACAAGGCCCTGAGCTTGCTTCGCACTGGAGGAAGCTGGATGCAGTAACTTCACTGTTGAGCGCTGAGGCGGCAGCAGCTCATGTGGCTGAATGAAAAACAGTTAGAGATGGCAACGGAGCAAGGGGAAGATGAAGTGCTTACTTTGCAGCATTGATCAAATGGGTGGTGCCATGGTCCCAGCCTTGGACGGGGATTTCTATCACCATCAAGTATTCTTTCAAGAGCTTCTCCTTCATCTCGTTTTCAGGATCTGTCAGAAAGTGAACTTTTAAGTCTTCAAATCTTCCTCGCTCTCGGTTGACAAGTGGAACAGCTCGGATTTCTGAGGGGAAAAAAATAACACGTAAGTAAAACATACATCTGCTGAATGAGATGATGTGTGAAGCTGTACACACAATGATTAGCATTTGAAAATAAAGAAAGGATACAATTACAGAGTGGAAAACTATTATCTAGCCACAAAGTCAAACGGGGAAACAAACTCCGCTAAACTCTAATATGAAATGCACTGTTTCCAGGAAGCTCACAGAACGGAAAGCAGCCTGGAGGGATCTCGTTGGTTAAATTCCCACACTTCAGAATCAGCCTGATCTGAGTTTGAATCCTGAATTTGCCACCAACAAGCTCTGGGACACTGGGAAAGTTATTACCCTCTGAGCTTCCAGTGCCTCAACCATAAAGTAAGGCTACCAATGCTTACAGCACCCAGAGATGCTATGAGAGGAAATGAAGTAATATACCTAAAGCACTTATCAAGTACCTACGGCACATTAAGCTGTTATAGTAATAGCGAACCTGATAGACACTGACCTGCTCCATGCACTGTATTAAGGGATCTGTGTGCCTTAACTGGTCATTTATTAATAGAAATGGTAGTAGTAAGATACATATATATCTCCTACTTGCAACTAACATGCTAAAAGGAATTCTGAAGCCATACACAAAAGGGAAGGGGGTTGCACAATTACTGCTACCGCATTACTGTTGATAACCAAGCAAATGACAGAATGGTATATTCAGATACAAATAATTCACTTCGGTGAGACTACTGCAGCACGGAGAAAGAGACCAAACCCACGTTCAGGGGGACAAGCACCGCTGTCTACCAGCAGTCACAAACGTGAAGGAACGCTCAGTTTTCTCACCGGGCCCACTGTCCTTCAGGGTCACCAGGGGTACAAAGTGCTGGCTGTCGTAGCCAAGGACGATGGGATATCTGTAGCACTCCTGGGCAGGCCAGTGGAGAGGCAAGTAAATTCCGCCCACCTTCAAAGGCGCGAAATTGGAACCTGATTCCAAACTTCTCAGCATTTTGTCTGTTGAAGGAAAGAAAAAGAAAAAATAAGGCCCTCGGGTGACTTTCATCACAGTTAATTTAACGACTGTTGCCTGTTACTTCGGCAGGGTAGGTTCTCCTAAGAGCTAAAGCGTTAAAGCTGAAACGCACTTACACATACAAGCAAGTGATCTGCAGGCATCTTACCTGAAATGACAATGATTGGCCTTCGGAGGATGTTGCAGAGGACAAATATGTGTATTTCTTCCAGCGAAGTATACTGAAGGCCACTGCGGGCCCCTGGTGTGTCTGTGGAGGCCATTTTGACAAGGTTGTCCCATTCGTCAGTCCAATTCTAAAGGAAGAATTTTGGGGGAAATGTTTGAATGTACTCTGTATTAAAAAATCCTTCTGGCTTTCTGATTTCACTGCATGGTTATTCATTTATATAACTCAGCTTGCTTTTCCCCTTTCTGGAAATCATCATTCAAATGACCACTCTTTTTTCCCCATATTGGTTTTCTTCCTTTATATTTTTCCACTACAAGGCAAACTCAAGAGTGGGGGAGGATAGTGGGGACAGCACCTGCTTTTGAAAAAATCCCTGATGAGGCATAATGCTGAAGCCCCTCATCCAAATGTACACAAAAATTCCAAACTTGTGACTGAGAATGGTGAACTCTGAATTTGACTGGCTGGCTCAGTAAAGCATGCCAAGGACAATCAAACTGAGAACAACCAAAACACCACAGGGAAGCCCGTGATCAGAACGATGAAGCCAAAATGAAGAGACACCCAGCTGGGAAGCTGCTGCCCTGAAGCCTCCCAGCAGTGACAAAAGCTTCGCTTCATCCCTCAGAAGGTTTCTGGTGTTTTCCATCAGGATGCTTTGCTTAGCCAAGCTCATATGACCTAGTAAATCATCTGCTTCTGAGCGCAGGGCCTGGCCTCAGGTACCCTTTTCCCCACCATGGAACTCTGTCAATAAATGCTTAATGGGGGAACAAAACATACCCGGGTGTCATAGCACAGCCCCGTTTCCACAAATTCCTGAGATTTAAGAGACTCCAGCTGCCAGCGGAATTTAAAGTTGCGTGTGTCCGTCTCCTGGAGAGTGCTGAAGAGGGCCTTCCTCAGGACCAAGTCTGTGTCCTGAACACCCCACATGTACTGCGACGCAGCGTGCATGAGGCAGTTTCCATCACCTGAGGACACAAGGAAAGCCGATTCAAGAAATCCACATCCAAACCCAGCGGACTCAGAGCCAACAAGCCCTGTTGCTATCAAGGAGACCTAACAGGGCGTGCAGAAATGCAAATGGTAGAACTTCTGAGGCAAAGGGTCAACTGATAACATTTCACAAGGTGATGCCAGATTTAAGGGGAAAAAATCCTTATTTTTAATGACTGATACCAAAAGAGCAAAGGAGCCAGGGACAGATAATCACAAGCTCTTGGTTCCAGCCCAGCTCTGCCCCAACCGGTTCAGGTGACCTTAGAGGAAATTCCTTAACCTGAGTCTTTTTGCTCTTTGTGAAATGAGGGCATTGGATTGTGGTCTCTGAAGTCTGTCCCTTTTCTAATATGTCTTGATGTTCTGGCCAAGACACTGGCACTATTACCTTCTGCCCGTGGGAGAACACACACAAGGCAAAATGCACAAACCAGGAAGCCAAACTTGCCTCCATTCACTAGACAGGGACGGTCTGGCTATGACTCAGTGGTAAATGACCATTCACTGTAGCCTCTGGGCCCAGGAGTTCCCTCTCCTGGTTTGTAAAGTGGGATTACGAACACTGCATACTGTTGCTGACCCCCAGGAATGCCTTACATGGACATGCTTGCTGGAAATTGCAGTGTTTTTTAAAAGGTAAGTGCCTGGATGTCTACATTTGAAAATAATTCAGATTTTAAGGCTGGCATTTCAAAAATGTTGAGCATTTTGAGCAAAAGATAGATCTAATTTTATTCCATTAATTTGTTACTATTATAGGTTAAAATACAGTTTCAGACACTACAATTTTTCCAACCTCCAAACAATAAACATTCTCGGAGAATATTTAATACAAAAAAAGGTCAATTCTTTTATCTCTTTGGCAAGTATAAAATTATTTTTAAAAAGAAAATATGAACTCTTTTCTTTGTATATAAGTAGGGCAATTAAGTTCCAAAATTTTATCAAATTTTAATTATAGTCAAACTGTAAAAAAAAAAAGCCCAGAGTTTTGTTATCATTATAACAAAAACTCTGAAATACATATTCAGAGCCAGTATCCCTTCAATTTACACACTTAAGAAAACTAGCTATATAAGTGTTCAAACAAATGCACGAACAAGGCGGCCCAAGCCTTGTGTCTTGCTTGACAGAAGTGTGGCAACGACTGCATTCTGTTGAAATTTCCCCTTTGCAAAATCTAGAGCAAAGATAAGGCTTTTTTTTTTTCTTCATGTGCTTTCAGTTCTTTATTGAGATGCACTGGTATAAAATTCCCTAAGTAACATCTGGAATTCCCCAGTGCTAAGTTATTTGACTAGCAATTGAGCAATAGCTATTGTACTTTTTGTTCTGGTGTGTAGACATTTAAACTGCGAAGTGCACCCTGGACTTTCCAAGTGGGTGTGGTCAGGGTGAGCTGGAATAGGCCACTCATTATACAAGTGAAATCGCGGCAGCCAATAGACGCTGGAATTTTTCACATGAAGTTTCAACTTTATGCCACCTACTCCCTTTCTCATTCACCACAGTCTCATATCCTCAAATGCAAACTTGTGAATCACCCCCCTCCCCAGACCATTGACTTTGTAGAACCCACCCATAGAGGGGAAGGCTTAAAAATAACAAAAGGCGCTAATAAAAATCAGGGAGGAAATGTCATTTGTTTTCCCCCTCTACTAAAGATCTTTTATCCCTTTTCCAGAATTTTAAGACATTTTCTTGAAAGTGGCGAAATAAAAGGATTCTGATCCCAAAAATCCTTATTTCCAGAAATGCACTGGCTTTTGTAGTTTTCTTTGTAGGGTGAAACCCTTGATGATTTAAATGGCAAATCTCGATAAAACAAGAGTTTACTCTTTACATTCCTTTTTTTTTCTTAAGGAAATAGAGTACGTTAAACCTAAACTGCTGTTCATGGTAATAATGCTGTTCATAATAATAAGGTTTTCCTCTTTCAACCACATTTTTTTCCACATTTCTAATTTGGCAGAATCTCTGGGTTTCCAACTCTAACAAAGTTGACTCCATCCCTTTTTTTTTTTGGTAACAAAATGGGAGAGAGTTAAAACCACAAGCTCAGAAATAGAAATCCCTTGATGATGACTTAACATAATTACCTACTTCTATGCATCGCTTGATTCAATGCCAAGAACAATGGAAACACTAGCTATCCCCAGTTTTTCCCCTATATTTCTAAAGAATCCATGCTTCAAAAATGTAAGCAAGATGTTAAGATAATGCACAAGACCCCCTCAGAACCAAAGCAAAATAAAAAAACAAAAAAACACATCCTCCATCACACCAAGTTACCCAAGTCACAAATGGCCAAAGTTAATGTACCAATTAAGTTACTTAAGTGAATATTCTTATCATTTCATTGTCCACCAGGATTTTCTGCACATGGTTGTATGTATTACTTTGATTGAGATGGTTTGGAACTGTCTCTGATCTAAGGACCTGAGATTCTGCCCTTACCTAAATTATAAGCATGTAATTGATCTTGGACAGGCTTTCTTGGTGTAATAATAATAATAGCTACATATGCCCTAGCTGGTGTGGCTCACTGGATTGAGCACTGGCCTATGAACCAAAGGGTCGCTGGTTCAATTCCCAGTCAGGGAACATGCCTGGGTTTGTGGGCCAGGTCCCCCATAGGGGGGCGTGAGAAGCAACCACACACTGATATCTTTCTCCTTACTCTTACTCCCACCCTTCCCCTGTGTCTAAAAATAAAATCCTTAAAAAATCCTTAAACAAATAAAATCCTTAAGAAATAATGATCTACATCTATTAATGTAGGGTTTGTATCTGCATGAAATAGTATGCCTGGATGTTTCTGGGATGTGCGTTCTCTTGCTCAAAAGAAATCATAAAAAAAAAAAGAGTAGAGCACAGAAGAGGAAGCAGCTACTAGTGGTAAAGGGACATTGGGCGGACAGGTTAACAGACAGTAAGAAATTCAGTACTAAGGCAGAGGTCTAAAATCAGTGCTAAAAATTTCAACTATCTTTTTAGTTCATATCACGGGACCCTAAGCAACAGAACCTTGGCAAGGGAGGTGCAGACACAGGAGCCCCCCTTGTCCTCAACAGCCATTCACTGGTTAACCCATAAAATGCCACCAAGTCAAGAAGTACAAGGTCATCATCACAAGCATTTTCTAATGACAGTGGGAAATGACAGCAATACCAGTTTTCACACCATGCTTTTCTTTTGAACTAAAGCCTGTTAATATTTACATTACTGGTCAGGGAAGACAATTTTACAGGTGATTAAATAGTTAAAAGAAGTAGACACCTAAGTTACCTAACAAGAGCATGGTATTTGGAAATGCATTCCCCAAGCCTCAATGCATTCTGTTCTCTAATATGCACAACTAGAAAATTTCCTTAATAAAAATATTCACAAAACAAGCTTGCCTTCATCACATGCCCCACAGAGTTTCTATACTCGGGTATCAATGGCCTCATGAGATTTGCATCTGGGCTGATGCTGCTACAATTTAATGAAAGAGGCCCCAGCACTGGGGGAGCCACACAAGGCAAAAGCATGTCTTACCATTCGTTTTTAGAGCCACAAGTTTCCTGACTTCTCGACACCAGTTGAGCTTCTTCTGACTTTCCAGGGAGGCCTGGATGTTTCTGTCTATGAGAGCTTTGTGGATGATCTCCCGAAACTGTGGACAAAACTGGCGAGTTCTGAACATTTCCAGCGTGTATCGGTGCATGGATTTGAAATGATGAATGATTCCATTGGTAGGTTTAAAAATATCTTCCGGAGTTCTCTCTCTGATCTTCACAGCTTTTCGCATATTGCTCAAATACAAAGCCTGAGGAAGGAGTTGTTCAGCCATCATGTTGTTCCACAACACCTGAAAGGGAGGAAAAATACCCATTCCGTTAGCTCGACTTTGATACTTCTTCTATATACCTGCCTGCAGGAAACCCCAGTGTTTGATCTTGTCATTACCCTAATCCGCAGGCAAAAGATCTTAGTCACCTCTACTCCCAGGACACTAGCTGGCCCCAAAGATTAACTCACAGTGGACTGTTTTAAGTTACATCACTTTTAAAGATTAGTCTAAACAAGAGAAGGAAGGCGGAGAGTGGGTACTGAGGAGGAGGGGAATAACCCTCTACTGGAAAGACAGTAAATATTTTGTGAAAAATCCTGCAATTTGATGCTGTCCCCTAGGCATCTGACTGGAATTTCCTCTTTAGCCCCAAGGAGAAATATTTACAAAAAGTTAATTTATAAAATTTACTATAATATTTATGAAGAGTTAAATCTAAATGTTTTATAACCAACAAAAAAAGCCTACACGTCCAGCAAGATGCTTTGCAATTTTAAGAGCAAACAATCAGCAATCTTTCCCAAGCCTTCCACTGAACTTTAAACATTAGAATAAGAAATAAAATAACACCAATAATAGAGCAATAAATTCTACACTTCCAAGAGCAGCCATCAGAGCTCAATTACTTTAATGCAACAGCCAACCAAGGTTTATTATCATCCTCCAGGCACCAACGCTCATGCATTTTCCTGTCTTCACCATGAAATCGTCAAACATAATCAGCGGGTGGAAGGAAATGAAAGTCTGGCAGCAGACGAGGAAAGAAATTTCAGCCAGGGGGTCACTCAGGACATATGTCAGAGGAGAGGGCAAAATCCAGCATCCGTAACCCATGCCAACAGTGGGGAATGATGTGAACTGACATAATGTGGGATCTCTGCGGCGTCCAAAGCTAGCTCTCATTCACTGGCCCTTAGTAGGGTGTCTTGTCATATACCCTAATTTCCCAGATAAAGACAAAGATGGTTTTAGAGAATGAAGATACTCCCTAGGAAGTTTCATAGCGACTGTTAATCCCACTCACGCATCAGACTACTGGCCAGGCAGGGTCTAGGCTCACTTAAAGCCACTGATAAGGTTGTCTAAATTCTGTGGCCCACCCAAGAAGAGAGTGGGACTAGATGACCCCAAGGTTGCTTCTGAGTTTTCTGGTGGTAGTTCTGGATCAGAATTCCTAATCTGGTTGCCAGATGAAGCCTGGGAAAGGTCATTCTCTATCAGAGGTCACATAGTAATCTCTCCTTTGATGTCAACCATTCCCTGAAGGTAAAATTAGGCAAAATTATAGTAGGACCACAGACACAAGGAAGGGATAAAAGCATCACACTTCCCCTTTCTGGCATGGCAAAAGTCTCTTTTATCATGTTATTCATTTGTCTGTCTGTCCACCTACTGAAGGCATGCTTGGTGCTGGGGTTAAAAATCAAAGACTACCTTACTCCCTCTCTTGAAATCACATGACCACCTAAGTCTGCAGCTAAGGCAACAGAAGTACAGGTCCTGTTCAGCTCTCACACCATCCAGTGTGAGCTTTGCCTGGCAGCCGGGTCTTGCCTAGAAGCCAGAGCTTTGCCTAGAAGCCAGGTCTTGCAACTCGTTTCCCTTGCTATACTCACAGCACCATACCTGTGGCTACAACGCCTGCTGCCCCAGATAGAAACAGAAGGGCAATAGGAAGGTTTTTAAACAAGCTAGGTGGAGCCTCTTTTTGCTTTTTTGACTCTTCTATTGTTTTCTTTTGAACCTGAAGATCTTTCAAACAGTTAGAGCTGTAAATCATATGCAAGACATGCAAATGTCAATATTCAATGACCCTGTGCCATCTCATTCACAGGTTTAGTCTTGCACACCTGCAGAATGGCCTCCTTAAATCAAAAGCCACTGTCCAAGTTTCCAGGACATAGACTGAGAACATATTGCAATCTTAAGTGTTCCACACTTAAAATTAGAGAATAAATTTTTCTGACATATGACTGTACTGTCATAGGTCACATGATATTATATATATTTATTTATAAGACATGCAATATTACCCTTAACATTTGTTTATGTTACTGTTACCCAGCTGACTTTTTATCATCAAATATCTCATGGAATTTTGGAAAGCACACCTCCAAATATTCAAAAATTGTACAAAGAATTGCAAGAATGAAAGAAGCACCTTAGACTATAAAAATGGAGCAGTAACTGGCTGCTCTATAACCTGGGCCACAAGTGCTCTGGTCCAGAGGGCTCTTTAATGAACAATGGTTCTTCCGAAATGCTGCCCTGAGACACCTGACCAGACCCGCTTTCCAAGGAAAGATCAGAGGCAGGGAAACAAAGCAGTCTGGAAGAGAGCTGAGCTCCTTCCTTACTTAATACCACTGCTTTCCTGAGAGGCCAGGTGGCAGGATGTGGGACGACCCCGGTTGACAAAGACTGTCTGACTGTAGGTTAGGGGCTGGGGCGGGGGCCCGAAGATCACTCCAAACTGCAGCCCCCCAAAATGCAGGCCAACGACCCACTTCTACATGCACACCTCTCTTACAATGCTACAACTTAAAAGGATGGGCCTCGTCCAGTGACCCACCCACCTGCACAGAACTCTCGAGTATCTGCAAGCCCTCCCTAGAAAAGATGGCCCTGAAACATCACACCCGTTGCACTGGTTCTGCACAACCTGGGAAGAAGTCACAACGTTCTGCAAGGTCTACGTGGCCATAAGTGTGCAGCCCTTGGTCCCCACCCGTATGCCAAAAGGAAAAAAAAAAAGACACGAAAAGGGGCAAAGCACAAACGACCACCCCATCAAACAGCTCTGGGGCAATTCTCCACCAGTCAGCTGCAGTTTAAGTTCTCTGCATAATCTGGCTGGAGGAATCCAGGGCTGTCACCGCAATATTTGGAGCAGCGACCTCAACTCTCAGCATCTCAAAACCTACAAGGGGCAACAAACCGCCCTCCAGGACCGCTGCAAAGCCAGAGCCAGGACGACCAGTCCCGCCCTCCAGTCGCTGCCAAATGCGCCCCCGCAGCCCTTGCGGGGAGGAAGAAACCCGGGGCAGTCGCGGCGAATACCTCTCCGCGCGATCCTCTCCCGAAGTCCCAAGTCCAGTTCAGGGCCGGCGAATGCTGCAGGTTGGGGTCTGGGTTGGGCTTGGGCACGGGCGGCACCCCATGGACGCCGGCCGGGCTCGCCTGCTGTCTGGGCTGGCAGGGGGTGTGGGTCGCGCCCGCTGCCACCGGGGTTCTTGCTGCTCCGCCCACGCGGCTTCTGAGCTCGTACTTGGCCTGCCGCAGGGCTGGAGACTGCCAGTTCTCTGTTCTCTCTTTCTGTTTTACCACGGCGGCCGGCGGGGATTTCCACCGGGGACTTTCCAGTCACGTGACGCCCGGCGGCTTCGCAGGGCGTCTCAAGGTCCCGAAGGCCGGTCGCCGTCGCCGCCGGCAGAGGGCGTAGGAGGCCGGCGTGCCCCTCCCCGCCCACCGATCCGCCGGGCGAGAAACGCCCGTGCCCCGCCCCGGGGTGTCCCCGCGTGAGTCACCTGGCTGTTTCGGAAGTGGAGGCCAACGTCACATCCATGTGGAAATCGCGGTGATGGGAACTGGAAATGAAATAGGTTCTTTTTTCTCGGCCGTTTTTCTGCAGAAAATCATCAACTGTGGAGAACAAGAAGGGAAATAATAAAGAAAGAAAACCCTAAAAATCACCCTGGCGTCCGGGACCTCAGGCCTCTTCGCCGGTTTGAAAGGCTTGGGTTGTGCACATGATGAGCACGTAGGGGAGCCCCTGGCTCTGGGCTCCCGCGGGGAATTTGAGAAAAAGAAGCAGTCACGGCCTTCCTCTCCACGTCCGGCGTTCCTGCCAGCCCAGGACCCCAGGCTGGTGGCAGGCAGGTCCGAGGTGACATCAGACTCCGCGGCCCGGGATGTTGAAATTCACAGCACCACGGCCAGTCTTAGATAAAATTAAGAATCTGAACACCTACCACCCCCCTCCTGCACCTGATGGATTTCCCCTGGTTCATTTCTGCACTCCAGGTGCCCAGGTGGCGTCACGTTCAGGTAGAATTTCAGTTTAGAAATCACTCTGAGCCCATTACAGTTCTTTTTTGGCCCCTTAAGATCTATCTCATTAGGAGGTTTTTAGATAATCACCTCACGGTGCCAATGGATAATAATACTTTTTACTCCCCAGCCGCCCTTATGGATAACGAGGTAACCCATTGTCTTCACCCAGAGGGTGTGCAGCAGAAATAGGTGTTAGCCACCTGGGCGGTGGAGATGCTTGACTTGTGCAGAGGAAGGCATCAGGCCCACTTACCACCTGTGGGCCCCTATTGGCCCATTTCCTAGAATGGATCAACTAGAACCAGATCGAAATATTCTGTACCATCATCTCCTTGCAGACTTAAGTATTCTTGTCAGGCCGTTGTAGCTCAGTTTAAAGTTAGAAAAATACACTCCTGTTTTCAGTAAGGACCTGCAGAGACTGGGAGAGGGGTTGGGTGGAGAGTGGTACTTTTTTGGAGAAGGGAAACTTAGGGCAGATAGTCAGTAGTGGCCAAGGTCTCAAACATGGTGCTGGTCATTTAGAACCAAAGGCTGGAATTTTTTCCCAAATTCAAAACCTCTTGTTATTTGTTCTCTTCTTACCCACAAATGTTTTTAGCTACCAATACTCAAACAATAGTTAGTCAAGCTAGTAATATAATAATAGTAGTAAAAGCAGTAATGTTTATCAAGTCCCGACTATATGCCAATCTCTAGGCTGGGTGTTCGAAATGCATTCTAAAATTTAAACCTCACAACAACTCTGCTTTGCAGCTAGTGAAATGGAAGTTTCAGAAGCCTGAGCCATTTGCTTGATGTCTCCACAATCAGAAAGTGGCAGAGCTGTGACTGGCGCTGGGCCTGTCATACTCCACAGTCCACACTGTGAAGTTTTCACTATTAAACCATTACTCTCGGAAAAGATCCTACAAGATTGAGTCGTAGGGCCCCGTTTGTATTCTTGCCCCCTGCCTGACAAACCTACCACAATCACCTGTCCCTGAGCCAAATGTGGACCCCAGGCAGGGCCAAAGTGTGGGCTTGGGAGCCAGACCCGCCTCAGTTCCATCCTCAGGAAATGTTGCTGGGCTCGCCGAGATGATCAAAGATGAGGTCACTGTCAGTCCTTAGACCACTGCCCCTCGGTGCTCCTTTGAAACTTTGCCTGCTGTCTTTCATCTCTCAGTCTCTGGCCCCTCACCACCTCCTGTAGCTTCCATTGCTCCTTTTCTGTTTGAAGTCTATTCTCTGACTTGATGAGCTAGGAATGTAGTAGCAGGAGTAATAAGCCTGAAGACCATGCACATATCTGCTACTTCCAATTGTCCTGGGGTAGGTGCTATGCCCTCTTACCTACCAGGATCTGTGACAAGGTAATAGCAGTCAGATGCAGGAGTGGTCTATCGTCCTCAAATTTGCCCCGCCCCCATTTTCCCATAATTCTACCATTGGAATGATGGTCTCTCTGAGGAGGCGTACTTAGTCCTGACTCTCCTAGTTTTTAATATCCTTCCCATCTTCTAAATCAGTGCTCTGGCCATACACTTTCTCCTTTCTAATACTTAACACATGAGCAAAACCAACAAGAGTTTTCTTGGCAGTGAATTAGAAGGAAAGAGTAGACAGGGGTGGGGGGATTATAGGAGAGACTCCTTATGTGAAAAGAGATAGAAAATCGGGGAAGATTTGTGGAATGAATTGAAGCCAGAGAGATGTAGAGAGCCCAAAAGCCTTGCAATGGACTTTAATTTCTGCAATACATCTTACCAAGAAGAACATAATTCTGTGAAGAGGAAGGAGTATTTATTAACATCTAGTGAACACAGATGGGAAAAAACGTACCATTAGAGGGAAGAGGAAATCTGGTTATGTGGAGTGTTTCAGAGCATGTCTGAGTTCAGTGCTGTTTTTACATGGTCACAGCTTTTGCATATCATGAGCCACATTGCATAGAGCACACATGACCTCCTGGAGTTGGGCAGTCTGCAGGCTTGTGCATGAGCCTGTGTGCTTATACTACACACTGAAGAATATGGGCAGCCCAAGATAGTGGGGAGTGGTGTCAGGAGAAACCCGATTAAAGAGATGCAGATAATGACAACAGGGACCCAAGTCTGGCTCAGCTGACACCACAGTTCATGAGCCTTGAAATCAAGAAACAGCCTTAGCGTAATTATGAGAGTATATGGAATTTCAGATCATGGCAATCTTGGGTCAAACAAAAATGGAACATTTTCATGTCCATTGTACAATTGTTCTTTTACGAGCACTGTGCTCTGTTGAAAAGGAAGATCCATGTTCAACATTTTGAAGCAGCCTTATGTAATTATGATAGTTCAGATATTTCAGGGTAGCTTCAAATCCTGCTGCATATTTTAATAACTCTTGGCTGAGCTTTGAGATTACTAGAGTTGTGTTTTTGCTTTCAAGGTTGCTCTGAGGGCTGATTCTGAAAAGATAATAGAAACTATTTGTGGGCTGTAACTTCGAGGAGAATTGGGATAACGCTATCATAGATTTCATCATCATGTGAATGCCAAAGTCTCCTAAAATGCTACTTCTTATCTAGGAACCTCAGATCCTTTACAGGTATTATGTGAGTTAAATAGAGAAACCCAGACCCACTTGGTGAATGGACTGAACTGAGGTAACCCAATGAGTCACTGGTAACAGGAATAAAGACCCTCCACTGGCAGGGAGGGAGTTGGTTTATTGCCAAGTACAACCCCTATTACTCCACTTTGCCTGAAAGCAAGGATGCTGAAATCTAAAACTTGTCAGAAAATTCATTCCCCAGAGAATTGTTTTAATTTTCTGTCAACACTTGGCTGAAACACTTGGCAAAGTACTTTTATTCTACGTCATGAATATAAATATTCAAACCACTCAATGAAAAGTGGTTTCATTTCCCTTTCAGTGGAGGCTCCTGTTAATGACCAAACATGAACAATGACAAAAGTTCTAAAATGAGTGTTTTCAGGAACCAACTGGTATGCAGTACCGGGTTTATCCATGAGCAGGGCGTTAACTGGAATAAATTCGTTCCTGTAAGTTGGAATAGTGTGGGTCATTGTGAAAATTTGCTTTTGGTGGACGTCCTTTCTCTTCATTTGTCCCTCAATTTCCTCAATCCAGTTTGGGGTGCCCATAATCCTGCCTCCTTGCATCTCCTGTCCTCCATCCCCGAGCCTGTAAAAAAGGGGGCTCAGCTTTCATTCTCTCAGGGGCCTGTTTCCTGGGGCTGGCTGATCCAGTCATTCATGTTCAGTTTTGAAAGCAGATTGCAATATGTTATTGTATTATATTTCTTGAGAAACATTCCTATTGAGACCAGAACTTCTTAGGGCCTATAGGTGGAAATTCCAAGCACCTTAGCAGGCTAGATAAGAAGCTGCTGCTTACATGATTCTCAGAATCCATGTTTACAGGACATACCATGGTTTTAATAACAACGCGGTGAGTGGGGAAATTATATTAATTATATTATTATTGTTGTTATGTTATATTTATAATATTAAATATACACACATTCCTTCTTTTTCTCACTGACAGTAGCCTACATCAACTGATACAGTTGCATTCCTCTTTCTTCTTGTAGTGGGGAAAGACTTTCCCTGTACCCTCCTAGGTTCAATTGGTCTATGAAATAAACTGGCATCAGGCAGACTAACAGGAGAAAAGGTATATACATGTATTTTTTAAATAATTTAAAAAGTTTTCTATTACAGTTACCATGCAGTATTAGTTTCAGGCGTACAACATAGTGATCAGACATGTATATCACTTGCTCAATGGTTACCCCAGTTAAGTCTAGTACCAACTGACACCATATGTAGTTATTGCAATATTATTGACTGTATTCCCGATGCTGTATTTTACAGCACCATGACTATTTTTATAACTGCCAACTTGTACTTAATCTTTTCACCTTTTTCACACAGCCCCCAACCCTCCTCCCACCTGGCAGCCATCAGTTTGTTCTCTCTGTATCTATGAATTTGTTTCTGTTTAAGGTATACAAATGTATTGGTTTTTAACATTACCTGCATGAGGACATTACAGGGGAAAAAGGTGAATACTCAAAAAATTAGTGTGGTTTGACAACTTATATAACATCTTAATAGAGAAAAGGGAAGAAAGAATGTAGGCCACTTAAGAGAGAATGAATGACTTTGAGGACAGAGGAATGGTCCTGTAGAGTAGACAGACGGAAGTTGTGATAGTTTCCTCTCCTGTAATAAGACTGAATCTTCCCTGATGGACGAGACTCCCTGGGAGCAGACTG